TTGGGCCAGAGAACACAGCAACGTGCCCTGCAATGGATGTGTTGGGAATCCTTATAAATTCAGGGAATGGACATGGTGGGCTGCGGGGAAGGAGGTGGGCTGAGCTGGGGGTCGAACCCAGAGCCTACCCAACCCCAGGGGCCTTCTCACACGTGCTGGTGTGCTCCTCCCGGCTCAGTCAGGCTCAGAGAGGCCAGGCCCCGGGCACAGTCACAGGAGCATGGCAAAGCCAGGCTTTGAAACCTTTCCCACCACGCCAGGCTGCCTCGAGAGAACATCAGAAATAAAGAATTCCTGTCAGTGGCACCTTCAGAAAATAATGAAAATGTCTGTGGCCACGTCAGAGACTGAAGCCCTGCCACAAGCTTTCAGGGACAGTCTTCCAGCTTTGGGGCACCCGGGGGCTGGCACCCACCTGCTCAAGGGCCTCCAGGGCGTGAGGGGAAGGCAGGGGTGATCCAGCTGCCCTCCCCCCACCCTTTCTGGAGTTCTCCATATGGGCCTACGGCTCAGCCCCTTCCAGCTCACCATCAGAAATAGCTGCAACCGATGTCTCTGCCATCCCTGCAAGTGGCTTTTTAAAAACTGTTTAAAGGCAGACACACAAAAAGGAGGCGAGAACTTTGCCAAGCCCAGGCAGATGGTGTGGGCATCACCTCGGAGTGTGAGGAAAAGCACAGAAGGCCTGCCCAGCTCGGGTTTGTGGGTCACCCCCCTCCCCAGGCCTCAGTTTCCCTCTCTTAAAAATCAAAGTACTTAGCTGAATCAGCAATTTCCTTTTCCTTAACTGCCAACTCCTGTTTCCCAATTGGATCTATTAGAATCTACTAATTCCACAGTTGTGGAAATGCAGCTGCTATGCTGGGGGCGGGGGGGGGGGGTCCGAATTCTAGGTGCTCAGCCCCTCCAATGTCTCCAGAATCGTCCCAAGGCACCCTGTTCTAGAACCCAGGGCTCCAAAGGACCACCAGGCTAAATGATCACTGTGGTTCCTCTTGGCTCCCAAATGAAACGCCAAATCACCCCTGGTGCCAAGGGAAAACAATCTTTCAGGCTGACTTCAGTCAGGGCCATAGACACTCTAGAAGCTGCAGGGCGAAGGAACAAAACCAGCAGGTTCCAAACCACACTGGGCCCTGGGCGAGAGAGGGGGCAGCCCAGACTGCCTTCCCAGGAGGCAGAAAGAACAGCCCTGAGCCAGGCCCCTTGAAGTCACAGACCTGAAGTGTAGAATAAGCTGGGAGGAATCCCCCTAAGGGGTTCCCCCTAAGGAACCCCCACAGTGTGAAGGTGGAAGACCTAAGGCTCAGAAAGGGCAACAATTGGACTGAGGTCACACAGCTGAGCCTCAGAGAACTCTCCACTTTTTGAAAGTTCAGATGGATTCGGCAGGAATCTCCGAGGGAAGAGCCCCCCGTTTGCACACTCAGAAGAGGACATTTTGGTGATACTGGGTGGTGACCAGCCAGAGATGTTTGCTTTGGTTTCCAAATCAACGCTTGACAACCTACCCAGTGTTACAGTTTCGGTGGCCACATTTCCTACATGGTAAAGATCTCTGAGCTGATTGGACCAAAAGGAAGTCATAGGGGTGGTGAACAGGGCCAGGGTACCCCAGGGGTTCTGGTTTGTGTTGGGGCTTCTAAAGCAAGGGCCCTGTGCCGCAAAGGGCACACGAGGTGATGGGAGGTGGTACTCAGAGTTTTCACATTTCAATGTAATTGACTATGGAGGTGAGCAGGATAGACACAGCCAGGTCTGTGCAGACAGAGGACTATGTATTCAGTATTTATTATAAAGGAAACTACTTCTGAATGATGTTAAAACATGGATGAACCTCAACAGTCCTAAGGGAAAGAAGCCAGGCACCAGAGGCCACACAGCATATGACTCCATTTACAGCAAAAGTCCCGGCAAATCTACAGAAACAGAAAGCAGATCAGCACTGCCTGGCTGAGTGGGCACAGGCACTAACCACAATGGGCATGAAGGAGCTTTTGGGGGTGATGCAAGGATTCTAAAACCAGATAGTCATGATGGTTGCACAACTCTATGTGGATTTTCTAAAACTCATTAGGCTGTATGCTTAACATGAGAGGATTTTGTGATATGCAAATTATACTTCAATAAAGCTGTTAAAAAAACATTTTACGTGAATAATTATATAGGTGGAAGTACATGGATATGGCCATAAATCATGCAGGTGGACCCAAAGGCCTCCAGCTTGGAGAACAACACTGAACCCATTGTCCTTTTGGGGAATAAGTGGGGTCTCCTGACTTCAAGCCCCTGAAGAGGATGCCCCAGAGCCCTGCCTTTCTCAGTACAGACTCTTTCCATTGGTCATTGGTCACTGCTTGGGACCCCACACTAGAGGGGAATCTGAAGACTAGGGGGCCCAAAGTTCTGGCTTAGTCTCATCCCATAGACTGTGACTTCTCTTACAGACAGGGCATCAGAAGACGGCTGGGGACTCAAACTCAGACGTGTCAGCACCCAAGGCCCTTTCTGATTATCTAGCCCAGTGGTTTTTAAACAAATTTTTTTTTAAGAAATTGATCATAGGCCTGCTTTCCTCCCAAAGGAAATTACTATGAGAAACCTAAATATAGAAACAAGTGAAAACAATGTTAATTGTGTACATGTATATTGTCAGCGCCAATACACAAGTCACCTGTTCTAAATTCAATCAGTGAGGCGGTTGAGACTATTTGGCCCCATTAATCCTCGGAACTGGGATTATGGATGACAGTTTTGCGCTCAGTTTAATTCTACCTCCAGTTTTGCCTGCAGAGTGTCAAGGAAATCCTCACTCACGGAGAAAAGTAGCTACGAAGGGGAACAGTTTTAGTGACTTGCTTTGCAACCTCAGAATGTCTGTGGATTTCGATGAGTTAGCAGTAAGAACTTGAAAGTTGAGTGACTACATTTTCATGACCATATAAACATTTTCATATATTTTGAAATGCTAATTTTTATTTAATAGTCAAGGACTTCCTAAAGCCTCTCTTTGAGGAAGCCTAGGGCTTGAGGAGCATCTTTTACTTGACAGATAGGTAAACTGAGGCACAAGGAAGGGCGCACACTTGCTTAGGACTAATCCCCACTGGAGTCCTGAATCAATTTCAGAAAAGATGCGCCTGCCCAATTTACAGACAATATGGAGGAAGAGAAGGTGCAGGCGTGTCCCCTAAGGCGGGAAGAGAGCCACCCCGCGCTCCACCTGTCTCGGCAGCGCCCGGCTCATTCCAGGCCAGCGCCAAAACTGACATCACACCCCACACCCTGGGTGCAACTTAACAGCATTGCCCAATGCCAACCTATCTCCCTCTAAGATTGGGCATGGTTTTTCCATCTCCTTAGTAGCCAGGTCCAGAAAGCAGACACAAAACAAACACAACACAAGCCTGGCACGTGATGACAATTAACAATGGCCAACAGAAGGGCCCATCCCTCCAAGTTCCACCATCAAGAGCAAGTGCCTGTTTCCCACCCCACCCCACCCCAAAGAGGTTGCCCACAAGGGACAGAGAGGGAGACTCCCCAGACTGAGACACCACAGCATTCAAAAGACCTCAGGAGTGACAACCCACCCCTGAGAAGGGCTCCAGAGAGCCAGGCTCCGCAAGAGAGACCCGGGGCCCGGCCTAGCTGTTAGTCTGACAGCCTATCATCTTTAATCACTTTCCATCTGCATACCATCACTTTATACTGCCTAAAAGGCAGCGCCATCGTACCCTACCACCTCCCCTCGAGCAAATCTAACTCATGGGTAGACTTTATCACCCCCATTCCCCCAAAAAGCAGTCTTCTGAGTGGTTCAACAATCTCACTGGCAGGTGACAGAGGTGGCATCTGAATGCCCCATGCCAGCCTATGCAGTAGAGGAAAAGGAAGGTGGCTCAAGACCAACTTCCTGGGCAGACCTCTGTGTTCGTGTGAGCACCAGAACTCAAGGTGTGGAAGGCAAGATCCTTCTGGGCACATCCTCCAAGCCCTGGAGTTCAGAGCCAGGCTTGAAATGCAGCCTGGAACGGCAGAGGGCCCTGCCCCCACCCAGAGCTGATGCTACAGACAGCCCCTTCCCCTCCCCTCTCCTCAGAAAGCCAGCAGACAGCGCTGTCAGCCAGCATGCAGGCAGGAAGCAATGTCAGTTTCCCAGCTGGGGATCTAGGCTGGGCAGGACCATGTGGGCCAGCCCTGCAGGCAATCTGCTCCTTCACTCCAGCCCCAGGCAGAGGTCTGGGTCCATTCAGCGGCCAGTCTTAACCCAAGGTTATCTGCCTGCCCCTATGGGCCTTTATAGTGGAGTGTGTGCCCCACTAAACCATGACAATGGGAGTGTGGTGAGGCAAAGGGGACGCATTTTTAAAGCTGTGGCCAGTCTGATGCCAGCTAGACATTCCAGGGCTGAGCAAGAAGGCAGACTGGTCCCAGAGGGTAAGGACAGATCTCTCCATTGCCAAACACATGATTTCGTTTGATTCGAGGGAGGAAAAGGCAGGGGAGTGGTTAAGACTTTTTCCTTTTCACCCATGGAGGGAGGGGAGACCATCTCCTATGTCCTTGGGCAAATCCCTAGGCTAGGAGACAACCCTGCAGGAGCAGTTCAGGCCAGATCCCCGGCCTCTGCACTTACTAGCCACTTGCATTTCTGAGCCTGTTTCCTCAGCTACAAAATGGGAACAAGAAAGCCTCACACACTGCGTTGCTGTGAAAATAAAACACCGACGGTCATGATGACACCGACAAGACAGTGGCCGGGACCCAGCGGCGGCCCCGAGGCGTCCCCTGCGGTGGCAGCGCGGGCTCCCCTCCGGAACCACGCAGACACCGCCTTGGGCGAGCCTGCTGCAGCAGGCGCCCCGCGACCCCGCTTCAGCCCACCTGCCGGGGCCAGCTGGCCGCGGGGCCCCTCCCGGGCGCGCATTCCGGCGCCGCAGCCCCGCGCGCCCGGCCCGGCCCGGCCCGGCCCGGCCCGGGGAGGGCGCGCCGCTCACCTGCGCTTGTACTCGTCGCGCTCGCGCTTCACCTTGGCCAGCACGTTGTAGAGCGCGCGGATCTCGGGCGTGATGGTGTCGATCTGCACGCCCACGCCGTCGGGGTGCACCCACGACACGCCGGGGCCCTGCACGGTCTCCACGCCGCCGCCGCCCGTGCGCCGCACCTGCGTGTAGCTCCAGATGGTGCCGGGCAGGCGGCCGTAGCGCGGCGGGTGCGCGGAGCCGCCCGGGGCCGCGGCGCCGGCGTTGGCGTTGGCGGCCGCCGCGGGGCCGGCGCCGGGCGCCGGGGGCCGCAGCAGCTCGGGCCCGGTCTGCACGGCCTGCTCGCGGGAGAAGGTCTTGTAGCGCAGCCGCCGCTCGCGCTCGCTCTGCTGCTGCTCCAGCTGCTTCTCCAGCAGCCGGTTGCGCCGCTCCAGCTCGTGCACCTTGGCGAGGAAGCAGCGGAAGCGCACGTTGAGCCCCTTCAGGAGGTGGATGTTGGAGCCCAGGTCGTCCCGCAGCGCCGCGGTCACGGGCGACGGCCCCGGCCCGACCCCGCCGCCGCCCCCGCGGGGCCGCCCCCGCCCGGCGGGCCCCCGAAGGCCAGGGCCATCTCCCCGAACAGCAGCGAGCTCATCATGCGCCGGCCGCGCGGCTCCGGGCCCCGCGCGCGCGGCTCCAGGGGCGGCTCGGGCTCGGGGCCGGGCTCCCGGCGCGGCCGGGCGAGGGCGGGCGCGGGCTCCAGCGCGGCGGGCGGGCGGGCGGGCCGGGTGCGCGGCGGCGGCGGGGGCCGGGTCGCTGGGGCCGCGCGCCGCGGCAGGGGACGGGACTCGGCGGCGGGGAGGCCGGGCGGCTGCGCGGGGCGGGCGGTCGCGTCCCGGGCCGGCGCCGGGGCTGTCAGGGACGCTGTGCGGCGCCGCGGCGGCCGCGCGCGGAGGACTCTCGGCCGGCTGGGCCCCCCCGCGAGCCCCGCCCACTGCAGGCCCGGGCCCCGCCCGCCGCCCCGCCCCCCGCTCCTCGCTGCGGCGGCCCGGAGCCCGAGGCCCCGCCCCCGAGCCCGCAGCGCCGGGCCACGCCCACGGCAAGTGGCTCCGCCCTCCCCGGGACGGCTGCCGGCTCGGCTCCGCAGACCGGCGGTCCGCAGCTCTGGCCCCCCCGCTCCAGCCGGGCCACGCCCACGGCAAGTGGCTCCGCCCTCCCCGGGACGGCTGCCGGCTCAGCTCCGCGGCCCGGCTGTCCGCAGCCCTGGCCCCGCCCCGCCCCGCCCCAGCCGGGCCACGCCCACGGCAAGTGGCCCCGCCCACCCAGGGACTGTGCCGACTCGGCTCCGCAGACCGGCTGTCCGCAGCCCTGGCCCCGCCCCGCCCCAGCCGGGCCACGCCCACGGCAAGTGGCCCCGCCCACCCCGGACGGCTGCCGGCTCGGCTCCGCGGCCCGGCTGTCCGCAGCCCTGGCCCCGCCCCGCTCCCGCCGGCCACGCCCTCCCTGCGCCGGTGCTGCGGGCCAGGCTGCTCCCGGCCTCTGCTCCCGGACCGGGACCGCAAAGCGGCGCCGGCGCTCGGCTGGCTGGAGCCGCAGAGCTGGCCGGGCCTCTTAAAGGAGCCGGCGGCCTCGGCGGCGCCCGTCCCCCCACCCACGGCCCCCCGCGTCCTCAGCCGAGGGGCCTCTTCTGTCCCTCCCCCGCCCCACTCCCCGGCCCACATTCCCGCCGGTGCGCGAGAGCTCGGCCCGGAGCGGCTCCAGGGCCAGAGCATCTTAAGGTGCATCCGCCCCGCACCCCAACTCCGAGCCGGGGAGCCCCAGCTCGACCTTCCTGGGATGCGCCGCCTTCCGCCGGGGCCCCGTGGTCCCGAGACGGGCTGGACGCCGCCGGGGCGGGAGGCGCGTGAGGGGGGGTCCCAAAGACCCGGGGCGCGGGACACCCGCCTGCCCGGCCGGCCGCCGCCCCCGGGCCCGGGGTGACCACGCCCCTCGGGGGGCGTTCGAGGCGCAGCTGACCCCGGAGCGGGGATCCATCGCCTCCCGCAGCGGGGGCGGCAGGGCGAGGGCTCGGCCCGCCGGGACCGCGAGCCACTCCGGGGACACAGTCCCTCATGCAAGTCAGCAGGAGCTGCCCCCCTGAAGACCACGTTTTCCAGTTTCCTAGTGTCCCTGAAACCAGTTTGTGAACACCTATTGTTATTTTATAAATGGTAATAAGAGCGCCGATCGCGCGCTTGGTGTGTGTTAGGTGCCACCCCTAGTCACCCGCATTTTACAGAGGGCGCCGAGACCGAGGGGCAGCCAGCGCAATGTCCACGCGGCTGTCCAACCCGGCCGTCCGGCCCCTTCCCCGCTGGGCCCTGGCCACAGACCTCAGGGGCTGGCGATCCCCGCCTGTGACTTCCCCTGTGTGCCCTCAACCAGATCTGTGGCATGGTCCAGATTCTTGCGGCTGCATTTTTGGAATTGCAATTTAATTTTTGTCTTGTTGTTATTCAGTGTTTGTTTTGTCTCCTTGTGAGCTTTAGGGCAGGTACCCTGTCTTGCAGGGACACTGAGGGTGTTCTCAGTGACAAACACAAAGGAGATGCGGGCTGGCTTTGGGGTGAGGTGGCGGCTGTGATGTTAGTCTGCTGCTTTTGATGCAGGAGACCAAACCCTACCCTCGTCTGCTTTGCTTCCCACAGCCCCAGCTCCTTGCTCCCTGCCAGCACAGGCTCTTTACAACATGCAGCGCCCTAACTCAGCCTGTCCTGGAGCCTTTCTCTGCTTAACCCAACAGGGTCACAGCCCTTTTATTCTTTGTTCTCGCATCTCTTGGTGATCATCTTACTTTTCTTTTTTTTTTAAGTTTCCTTAACTTCATTTTTTTTTTTTAAGATTTATTATTTATTTATTTATTTATACAAGAACCAGGGTACAGGCCAGATGCGTGGGAGGGTGAGAGGATTCACCAGAGACAGAGCAGGGAGCAGAACAGACGGATTGTCTGAAATACACTACTGAGGGGAGCAGAGGGCGAGGCAGGAGAGGTCTGTCGTGCCATGTGGGACCCTCGTAGGCCGGCCGGGATCAAACCCGCGCTGCAGAGGCTGCGGACAGCTTCACAGTGCTGCACTCAACCACCTGCGCCACCAGGGGAGGCCCCATCTTATTTTTCTAACTTAAATAATCAAAGTTCCTTTACCTTAAAGCAGGAGACTGTGGACACCCCCAGAGGGTAAGGATAAATTTTGTGGGGTGCTCCATGAGTTGGAATGGGCAAAAGTTCTATCTTTATTTTCACTAATCCCTAGATGATACTTAACATTTCCTTTGATTACGAATGCAGGGAGCAAGCAGAAGTCCCTGTGGTTTTTGTCACTAATAGAAACAGATATTTTCATATCACTTCAGCTACTGTCGCCATCTCAAAATACCATTTAAGCAACAACTCTGAAATTAAAGCCATCTCCGACTCACCATTAAGTCTTACTTAGCATATTAATGAAGAAACAAGTCACTAGATCAGAAAAAAATTAAATATTTTGACAATTATATTTGAGTAAAATTGTAACTCAAATGCAATTTTTAAAAATTACTCTGAGGAGGGTTCAACAGAGGCCCAAGTGGCCTGTGGAACAGAAAGGGTTAGGAAGACACACCTGGGGAGTGGCTCCCGCAGCCTTTTCCAGGAAAGAGCTGTCCTACCAACAGCATTGCCCTGAAGTCGGGGTGTGAGGCCCTGGGGCCAGGGGCAGCTGCCCAGCCCTGTCCTGGGCACTGGAAAGACTCAGGCCTTCCAAGATTTTCTTTGAGCACCCGCATCAGCACAGCCCCTGCCCTAATGTTGGGGAGATATCTGTGAACAGGGCAAGAGCCTTGGTGGGGAAGGTTAATGGAGCCACAACCAAGAAGACCACCCTGAGATGCGGAAGGAGAGGCAGAGAATTGAAACCCAATCCGGAGGAGATGGTGGAACAAAGACCAGGAGAGCTGGAAGAATTGGGGGAAACAGTACCCAGATTTGAAGGGATTTTCAACAAAAATCCCTTCAAAACGTGTGCAAGCAAAATGACTAGAAAACGGAGCCCCGGAAAACAGGAGCAAAAGCAAGGTGTTGTGTGGCTCATGTTTGGAAGATGAGAGGGGAGGCTAACCTGGTGTGCTTGCTAGGGTGACTGATGACCCACTCATGACCCAAGGGACCCAAGACCCTCTCATACCATCCACCTGCTCTCTCACCCAAGGGCCCCATCCAAGGGCACAGGGCAGGGCAGCCTCTTGATAAACAGCTGGTGAATGAATGAAAGAATGACTGACAAAACAACAACTTTTATTCTCGCCATAGCACTCCCCCACCCTTTTTCTGGCCACTTCCCCTCATCCTTCAGGTCCCAGCCTAACATGCAAACCCCAGTCTGATCTCTCTGCCCTCCCAGCAGCTCCCAGGTCTGAACTGGGGTACTTCCTCCCGGCTATGTCAGGCCCATCTCAGCCCCTGGTACACTCACTTCTCATTGCTGGCTTTTTCATCCACATCCCCACCCCTGCCCCTCCCCCTTCTCATCCTTGCTAGACCATGATCTCCATCAGGGAAGGGACCGTGAACCAGGCCCAGGTCCAGTTAACCACCAGAACCCCATCTCCCAGCATGTACCTCGCACGTGACAGCTGCTCAACAAAGGTGAGTTCAGGTAAGCAAACGAACGAGCCACTCGCAGCAGAGAAAATGCCTACAAAGGGCTTAGGACATGTTAGATGTTCTAATTTAATTACATGCCTTTGCTTTATAATTTGATTGAGACATATTTTACATGTAGGTGCCAAAACTCACCTATTTTTGTTGGCTTTTAGTAAATTTATCAAATTGTACAACTACCATTGTACATCAGTTTTTTTCCTAAATTTTATAAAGATTTCATTATTTTTTTTAAACTTTTTTTATTATTATTTATTTATTTATTTATACAAGCACTGGGTACAGTCAGAAACGCGGGAGGGTGAGAGAATTCACCAGAGCCAGAGCAGGGAGCAGAGCAGGCAGAAGGACCGAAGTACACTGCTGAGGGGAGCAGCGGGCGGCAGGAGAGGTCTGCGCGCCATGTGGGACCCTCCTCCGGTGGCCGGGGAGCAGCCGGGGATCGAACCGGCACTGCAGAGGCTGCGGGCAGCTTCGCAACCCAGCGCTCAACCGCTGCGCCACTGGGGAGGCCCCAAGATTTCATTATTTTTGCATCGAATACTGGGATGGAGACCAGAGGTGCATGGGTGAGAGGATTCACCGGAGGCAGAGTGCGGAGCAGAACAGGCAGATCTACTAAAACACACTGCTGAGGGGGGCAGCGAGCGAGACAGGAGAGGTCTGCTGCGCCATGTGGGTCACCTCCCTGGCCGGGGATCGAATTCAGGCTGCAGTGGTGATAGCGCTAAGACTTAACCCCTAGGCCACCAGGAAGGCCCTGTCCATCAGTTTTATAAATACTTCCTCTTTGCCAGTAAGATCCTTGTGCCCACTTGCTGTTATCCCTGTCTCAAGCCCCAGCCACTGCTAACGGCGCGCGTGTGTGCCCTTTCTGGACACAGTGTGTATGTGGATCAGTCCGCAGTGATCTCTTGTGTCTGGCTTCTTTCACTGAGCACCATGTCTTCCGGGTTCCTCCCTGTTATGCCACCAGC